ATTTTGAGTGTTGGATAATTCTTGCTGGATTTTCGACGAACAAACCTATGAACAGTTAACAGCTACGCGAACGAACCTATTAAATAAAAATTTTTCATCGTCGAATTAATTAATTTATATTAATTCGCCTTGTTTTAAATGTTGGCTGGAGCTTGAACACCACCTTCTATAAATTCGCCTTGATTTTGTTGTTTATTTAGCGCAGCTGTCAAAATTTTAGAATCAGCAAGTGGACACGGATATCTTTGTTTTTCATCCAGCAAATTGTCTGATTGGTACACATGCTCATTTTCGAATTAACCAGCAAAGTCTACAGTCCATTATATCGCTATAAATTAACAAATCAATACGGTGCGTGATAAGACATCAGTGACTTAAACTCAGAATTTTCATTATACCCTTCAAAGTATCTACGGGGCTTTGTACGAATTGGCCAGATCCAAAGCAAATTTTTGCGGGGTACTCAGTCGTGTGGGGTGACAACAAGCGTTGCGTGCAACGAGTGGCACACATTGCGCAACTCCAACCAACTACCGCTAAATGGTGCGGTAATCAGTGATAATTGAATGGAAATCAAGAAAGTACATACATATATACATGTAATTGAAAGAAAGTTGACAAAAAATCCAAGAAGCAGAACTATAAGGGCCTATCCAAAACGAAGCTATGAAGAAACGGGCAGGGGGTTCACGCGGCAACAGCTCGCCTGATGATAGTGGTACTGAAATTCAAGGTGATGCAAACACAGGGGCTAAAACCAACAGCAATGCTAACTCTAATAAAACAGGCGCCGCCAGCGCGCCCACCACACCCACCAAGCAGCGAAGCTCATCGTCCATTTCAAGGGATAAAGGACTTGATGAGTTTGCCGAGACATTTGTAATTGTTAATGAACGGCCCGTGGACGATATATCGCTTGATTTCTTCTATAAACCGCATACAATAACATTGTTCGCAATCTCTGTACTTTCTGTGATGTTCTTTGCTTTTGTTAGGTGAGTTCTAAGGATAAAATCATGAATGACAGATGTTTTGAAATCCTACGTACATATATACACAATATTGCATGCATGTTTAATTTATTTTTAATGTTTGCATAGTTATATACACTTTAATTACTGGTGTCTCATATCTTGCCGATAAGGTGTTTTAAAAGATTTCGTGAGAATTTAAACAAAATCGTAAGCAAACTTTGTTAACCCTTACATTTTTGCCGCTATCCACTCCAATTTCAGCCAATATTTGACTTAATGCGCAGCTGCCATTTCCATTTCTTGTCTCTGCTTTTTTGGTAGCATTTCTTAAAAGGAACAAATTGAGCTCTAAACAGTGTTTTGGGTTATTTCCTCTTCAAATCCTGAAATCCCGAAAGTTCCACTTGGATTTATTTCTTAGCATTTAAACGGAGACCATGCATTTATTTATTTACACGAACATATGTACATAATGTGTACATATATTTATTTTCATATACAGGCCACATTTTTGGCACACATCCCCTTGGCACATTCCCCTTCATTTGGACACCTTCGTTCCACTGTTTCGATGAGCTAGTGCCGAATGGAGTAAGTTAAACTTTGAACAAAAACGAAATTTCGTATTTACATATTTACCATATTCGTTGCCGTCCAACGCCTGTCAGCAGCGCGAATGTAGTTCAATCAGTGCAAACTCTTCTCTCTCTCAATATCATCACATTGCTAAATAAATCCAAGTAGAACAAAAAGTGCTTCCGAAAAAATAATCAAAATTCAACTATAAATTATTTAACTTGTCTAAAAATCTGGCTGTCGGTTATTTTAACTTGTAACGCATCAAAACCGTTAACAACTTAAAGTGACAACTAATGTTTTATGAAAATTAAAAGTTGCAAATCAAGGATATTGAGTAATCCAAAAGATGAATTTGTCATGTCAAGTAAATCGCTAGTGCAGTGTGTGGCGAAATCAATACAGGGCATGCAACAACAATTTCAACGACGAACTCTCAATCAACTAAACCAATTCCCTTCCCTTATGCCCAAATGGATGCGTAAGTTTCGAAACATTGTATCACGCGAATCAATTATGCAAATAAAAATAGAGCTAGTTCAAGTGAAAAAAACTACTATTACTTATTCAAAAGAGAATAGCGTTATTTCAGTTGACTAAAATAGATTTGAGTATTGATTAAACAGAAAGCTTAGTAAACGATTGTCTGTTACGATTTATATTGGAATTAAATATGATGGATAAAATTAAACTTGCAAAAATAGTAAAT